TAATCTGCAGTAAGATACCAACATTATTGCACTTTTTCTTTGTTTGCTGTAAATGCTTTGATTGGGATTTACCAGGGTCTGTGTCAAAATAACATACCAGAGACTAGACTTGTGGTGTCTTTGTACACAGAGCCAGAAAATACACCAGGTAGTCCATTCATATGAAAAAAAAATGAAAGCAGTGTACCTGTAAAGCCCCCGTGTTTTTAGCTGTGTAACAGTGCTCCTTCAGCCAAAGGGGATGGATGTCCTTATTTATTTTTTAAAAATCACATACATTTTATTTGGAATCTGTGTCTGTGTTCATACTTGAAGACAACACCCATCGTCTAGCAGTTGCTCTTCCTGTGATTTGTTCATTTTCTGTATTTAAGAGGTTTTCCTCCCTTATTTGAATTCGTGACTGTGGGCAGTGTAAGTAACACCGACATGATTTAATTCTTCACTGAATAAACAGCCCCCTCCCCACAAAAAAAAGAAAACAAAGGGGGACAGCGGCTTTCTCTAGTGTACTTCTTGGAGATCTGATGGGATTCTGGTCACACAAAAGCCCGTCATGGTGTGACCCCATCGTTTCCAAAACCAAAGGTTCTGCAGTCAATTACAAAGGCAATCAATAATCGCAAATGAATATTTGACAGCAAATTGGGTTGCTGTAGGTGTCACTGATGAGATTTTGGGGGATTTTTCTGCATTGTTAGCCTGAGAGATTGAATTTACCATGTAGGGAAAAACTGTTCCGGTTTGTTGATTTTTTTTAAATAACCCATGTTTTTGCTTTAAGATAAATACAAAATCCCATTAAAGTCAACAGACAGATGTCTCTCAGCACTTAACAGAACTTAACGGTGGACAAAATGTGAATGATTGAATACCAAATAATCAAGCCTGAAAAGTAAAGGCAATGGGCACTACTGCCTGTTGTATGTTTTACAATCATCATGAAGATCAATAGAAAAAAGGCCAGCAAACACAAATGTCTCAATTTTAGATCCTCTAGTGTGTTTAGATTTAGAAAATTTGTATTTTAAATAATGCTGTCTCATTCTTAACTAATGTGGTGTGAATTCTCGGTTTAATCAAGCTGACAAAAACGAATGAGTGAACAGTTACGTCATACTACTCAAATCGAGCTTTTGGCAAGAACGTTATGTCGAATATTAAAGTACCGGCTTTAATTCAAAACTTATATAGAAGCACATAATAGTACGAAGAAATGTGGACCATAAATCTTGAAGGATAAATGGGCTTATACTTGTATAGCACTTTTCTACTCTAACTGAGACTTTCTACACTTAAGCACCTTGTTTAACATTCATGCACACACTCACATGGATGCAACTTGGGGTTCAGTATCTTGGTAAACAACCCGCTCTACCTCCTGAGCCACAGCCACCCAACTGGAATGCTGTGATATTAATATATGACAGTACTCTGTATTATTAACTCATCGTTCACACTCAGAATATGCAAATAAAATTTAGGGATGACAATTTTTCTTTAATATAACTCCCAAAACAAATTGGTTTTCCCCACTTTTTGTCATTTGTTCATCAGGTTGCGACTGCTAACATGGAAATATCTGCCTGAGTTCAGTTAGCCTTCGCATAAGAAATGCTTGAAATACGTCACTCTGTTTTTGTGCAACTGCCTAACTTCTGTTAGAGAAGTCTAAGAGAGAAATACACATATTGATAACAAGTAATTAAAATGCAATGTAACCTCGAGATATGCTGACATCTTATCAAGTGTTGGCAGAAAAAATGAATAGGGGAGATATGAAGCTTGTGCCTGGAGAGTGCCACAATAAGATGTATGTGCTTAAATATATATGATTATAATACAGGTGCTGTGTATTTAGTTGATCCTAATGCTAACTGCCATGTTTGTCTGGGACCTTAATCAGGATGGACTGAGGGAATCAGTCCTTGCCATTTAAAATATTCCTCTTCGTAGCGAGGAATACTTCCATCCTGGCTTCCTGGATGTCAGCCCCCGTAGGTATGTCTCTTGCCTCCTATTTTTCCATCTGCACACAACTCCTCCCGTATCCCTGACACTTAATTTATTAATAATGGGACGGATGTCAGGTTAGGTGCTCTCCACCAGTGGAAATGCCCCACTGGCTCGATCTTCCTCTCCAGGCACCCACACGCTGGATGACAGCCACTGCTCCCTTTTCCCCCCTCTGAGGCACTTTGGCCTCACATGTCTGCATGGCCATCCACTGCAATGCGCAGTCGACTCTCACAAACCTATTTCACAAAATATTTTACTGTATGTGTGAGGAGAATGAGAGAGACTGAGGTGCTCCCAGAGATTTTCCAGGTACCTGCAGAGATTTTTAAAAAAATGCTTAAATAGATAAAACGGTTATCTTTTTAAAACTGGTGGAATCTTAGCGTTTTATCATTTGTTGCAATGTTTTACTTTAAATTCAAGAAGCTTTTGTTTGTCTAAGAGCAGCAAATATTACTGAGATTAGTATAAAATGATTGTACTATATGTGTGTGCTGCAGTTCTCCACGTGGTTCCACATTTCTAAAATGATTTAGGTGTCAGAAACTGAGCCATCACATATCCCTCATATTGAGTATCAGAACAAAGCCTGTTATTCAGGCTTTACAAAGTTTGCTTGTCTGCACACTGAGGCAGCGGGAGGCTCAGGTGCAGCAGAGAGAGACAATCCCTTCACATTCAGAGGGGAATAGACCTGTCAGTCCTCTAAACCCTTGAAGAACCAACCAGTGGAACCACATGCAGCTCTCTCAGCACACGCCACACTTATCTGGTGTGAACCAGGTTGGAAAGATACTAAAGATACGTCATCTTTCAAGATGCAGGCATTCTTGGTGGATAATGATTGTGTTTTCTTGTGTTGTGGATCTGGATGCATCGCACTGAACATTCATAATATTTCAGTGAGTCACACAGCCGGTTCTGAACAAAAAATAGAGCTGGGGGGAGGGGTGTTGTTTCTTTGTTTCAGGTTTAAACAATCAAAAATGTGTGCTGCCTGTAGTCCTCTCTGTGTGCTCACTGCCAGGAAGATTCTTTGGTCATTAACAAATTCAGATTTCCCCTTAACTCTTTAAAGGGTAGCTAATAGCTATGACTGTTGCTGCTCTTGACTTGCTGTCAGGAGCTTTGGTCATTTTAAATACTGACATAGTGAAACTCAGAGTTTTCAGTCAATAGTTTCATAATTGGGGGAATAAACACATTTTCTTGCTTTTATTGTTGTCTGCTTAACAAGAATCTCATGGAACATGAGTTAGGCTATTTTATCAGTCCAGCTGTTGGGAAATCAAAAGATCCTTCTTCAACACAACACCCCGGTACAACACCTGCATTGCTGCGGATGTAATGGCTGAAATGACTGTTTCACACAGTTTCAAACCACTCCACTACATGCTGACAGTCACGATGAATCCAACAAAACCACATCATCTGTGGTTCCAAAACAGAAACCCTCGCCACCTCAGCTACACCTTGAGACACCTATACCCTGTCCATGAATATAACAAGAGGATTGGAGACTGGCAGAGTCCATCTTCTGGAAAAGTGCTTCACCTTGTGCCAAGAGCACAGAGACACTTCTAACTTAGATTATACAAGGCCCATAACAGCAGGCCCGAACCCCATACTCCTTTATGCACTCCACAGGTGCTGCTAGGGTATTATCAGTTCTTATATTCCACAAAAGCATGTGAAGCCTCAACAGGCAAACCTTTCCAGCTGCCTGGAATTGCCTCTTTCAGGAGACTGAGTAGTGTGGTTCACTCTTAAATGCAGCACACCCTTTTTGAATCCCCACCTTTGCCACTCCGCAGGCCCTGTCTCAGGAATCCACAAAAGTAAAGTGCAAAAATGACTGTTTCTTTCATCAGAGACTGTATATAAGCAATGGAAGCAGCACCCATTAGACAAAGTCACACAAACTCGAGAACCACCTTGAGCACCCTTGCCACCACCATTTAACTTACTATGTTTATGCTTGCAGATCAGTGACCTGTCACTGTCACAGGTTTCTACATACACTCCGACCTCTTTTTTGTAACAAGTGGAGTCGCCTCCTGCTGACCATTAAAAACCATAGACGTGTATGAGTGTATGGGATTTCACATACCTCCACTTTTCAGACTAAGAAGTTAGATCCGTGTTTGCTGCAGGTTCAGGCCAGCTTCACAGCTTCAACTCTTTGATCATTTATTTTCTTTCTTTTCGTGCCATTTTAACGCAGGCACTGCCAGCCCATGAGCAAACTGCACAGCAAACTGCGCATTCAACATTTTGGCCTGGGCATAACGCATGCTGCCTCCTGCATGCTCAGTGTAACAGCCACCAGAAACCACCAGATGAATTAGAGAGTCTTAAAAGTGTTGGTGGAGGGATTTTTTTACCTTCTGGTCAGCAACCGCTTCTCCAAATCTTTGCTATACTAAGCAAACCGCCTGCAGGAAGATAGCTTTGTAGTCACTAATGCATAAGCTACTCTCAAAGTCTGTTTCTCCAAAAGAAAACTGTTCTTCACTAACGAGCACGGCATTTATTCCAAATTCCCTAATATATTCTGCATCTCACTAAATTCACGCTTCAATTCTCCCTGATATTTTTTTCACTTTCAGTTTTTCACTTTTTTATTCCCAGGCTCGGTGTAGCGATAAATGAGAAAAAATGCAAATCACAATAGGCTGACTGGGCTCAAAAGCCACACTTGTTGCTCCATTCTCACTGTTAGACATGTAGACCTTTATATTGTGTTAGCACATATACAGACTGCCGAGCACAAAGAATAAAGATAATCGCATTACAGGCGGGCAGTTTGGAAGCAGTCACAGGCTGCGCTTTAATGGAGGCGGTGGCAGTATGGTGAAAGCGTGCGTGCACGGGTGCTTGTGTGTGTGCTGCTTTGTGAGAACCAATTGAGGCTGAAGCAGAGAGCTGGAGAGAGAGGATCACAGCCTTATACACCGTGTCTGTGTCACATGAGAGGGGGTCACCCAGGATTCCCTTCAAGCTGCTCTTCAGGAAAAAAGAATGTTACAAGATTTGTTTCCCGCCTCGTTTACCGGATAGGATCAGCACGCCAGCGCTGCTGCTTTATCTTGTGTTGTCTATTTTTACATTTTTTTTTAAAGAAGATGCCGAAACGGGGAAGAAAAGTGAGGCAGACTATACCGGGAACACACTATTTAAAAGATCAAGACTCCTTATAGGAATCAGTAAGAAACATTATAGGTAAATTATCTTTTTAGGGTAGAATTTTTCTCCCATTTCTTTTTACGTGTTTCTTTTCCTCGTTTTAATGCTGTGATGCAGGAGCTTTGGAAGAATTGCAAATTAGCCTGTTTATCTCGTTGATTTGGATCTTGACTTTAATATAAGCCAAATATTTGCTCGTTTGAGGCTTTATTTAGGGCTCTAGACATACTGTCGCTTTGCTCAACAAGCTATGAAGTAAAAGTTTTACACGCCAATTTTATTTGCCTTTTCGCCTCGTGTCTTGATCACAACACGCTGCTGCAAGGGGCTTTGCACTGAAACCAACCGCGATTTACAATCTGCATTTTCAGTCGAGGTGATTTTACTCGTGTTTTCTGCCCTTGGAAGAGGAAGGTTGAACTCCGCTGAGGGAAGGTTTACCTCCTTTCATTTGCTTGAGTTTCTTTTGCCTAAAAGATCAAGGACAGTAGCAAAGGGTTTGTCAAAACTCCGGAGAGCGAGGCTATATGAAGATCGAGACACAGTTGTTGCTTTTCCCTCGCAGAAATGCCAGTGCGTGCTGTGACCACCAGGTTCATGTACAAGGGACTTTGCACTATTCCAGATGTCCTCACCTACCGGACCCCTGTTAACCTGCCTGAGGATGAAGTGGAAGGTGAGGCTTGTTGTTTTTTTGCTATCTGTCTGTTTGCTTGCTTTGAGCATGGTTTCAACCAGTGACAGTAACGATAACAGCTGTAACTCCCGAATTCGAAGTTCAGCTGCCAAATCAGGACCCTGGAGAGCTCCAGAGGGTGTGCGCTGTACAACCTTTTCAACAAATCCGACACCAGATCTCTGTGTGTAAGATCTAGATGGTTTATAGTTTTGTGCTGGGGAAAATACCGACAAACTATGCTCTTACTTTTTTTCTTGCTTATGATTTTTGGCACAAAATTAAGCTGTAGAAATAGTTAATCGTGCTTTTTCCATTCATACATCAACCAAAAATTTCAATTTATCATCTAATCACAGCAACGGGATATTATATTGTGAGTAGACTGCATGTTTATACACTGCATTTCTCGGCTGTACCCCTGACCTCTATGAGACTCCGTTGCACCTGCTGTTATTTACTCATCCAGCCAAGACTGAGACACAGACTGACGAGTAGAGGGACTCTGAATTTTGTTAAAAGGGAAGGATCCAGTAATGGACAAAAACACTATAATGAATGTCAAACTCATAAATATAAAACTGCAGATTACTTGAAAATCGAAGGCAGACAAAACTCATCAATGAGATTGAACGATGGACTCATTTTGATCCATAAATTGCATCATTTCATCTTTTATGAATTGCATTAACCAGAAAAGAAGAAGAAGAAGAAGAAGAAGAAGAAGAAGAAGAAGAAGAAGAAGAAGAAAAGAAGCTTTCATGCTGCACAGAAAGGGCAAGTGAAAGATTCACTTAAGCATTAAATTCACACTTGCTATTGTAACTGTAGGGCCGAGTTGTTAAAAATAGAGGTTTTGTTTTGCCAAAATGGTCCTCACAATGAGAATGCACACTTGGCAGCGATTTGGAACAAAGCCAGGCAGACTACAATAAAGAGATAAGTCAGATCAGATTTGATATCGCCAAGTCTTTTATGCATAGGGAATTCCATTTCCCCTTTCTTCTGTCTGTAGGTTGCCCGGTCCTCACAAGTGGCTGCCTGCCCTTGCTTCGAGCCACTCATTTGACATTGAAAATCCGCTATCTGCAGACACGATATAAATTAAATTAAAAGATTGGCTATGGAAAAGCAAGAAAAGAACAACAGCAGTAAAATGTTGGCGGGTGGTGTCATCAACGGCCATGCAGCTTTTCAGGTATTGGGCGAGTCTTTCCAAATTTTAGTTTACTAATTGAGTCATTAAATATTCAGAGTAAGACAGACCACTGAACCATGAATATTTACTGCAGGGAGGATTCACTGAGCATGTAATGCACTGCTACGTTTGCATGGCCTCACACCTTAGCAGTGCCCACAGTAAACAAGTAATCTTCCTGTTTTCACCTGCTCCAGTGGCAGGTAAAATGCATTAACGAGAACTGTAAGTTGATGAGGGAGGCAAGAGAGTTTAAGATGAACCTCTCCTGTTTACCAGCACAGAGCCAGTCCAAGGCTTTGAATCTGCAGCCTCCAACGTACCCTTTCACTGCTGCGCCACCTTAACGCACTCTGAGGGAGCTGCAGCACTGCTTAAATGAACCTTTTTGGTCTGCTGCAGTCCAGGGTTTCTGAAAAATCCCCCCTCTCTTCATAGAGGTCCGAAATTCAGACTGTAAATGTTGTTTCATCCACAAAATCTTTAATTATATTGGGGCAGAAGTTCCCTGATTGCACAGCTCACATAATTACTTTTTATAATCATATTTATGATAATCTTTTTTTTTCTTGCAAGGTGCACATATATACTCCAAGTGCAACTGGACATGTTTAGAATGATCCTTGATTCAGTGAGTCTGTCGCAGTCAGAAAAACAAACCTGATAAAACAGATAACATTTTATGCTTCATATAGGATTATTATCATTCTGTGCCATGCTGCCAATAACTTACGCAAGCCTCCATTTTCTCTCTACATGTATCCTAACATCTAAACTCATCATCAGGCTCACAGAAACTATAATCGCAGTAAATCAGTTTTTAGTATTGAAGAGCATGCAGGCGATGAGTTGTGCGGTTAAATCAATGGGACTTTTTTCTTGGTGACATTGTTTCAGGCACGGGTCGACTGCCACTTTGGAATACACACAAAAAAACACAATACAAGGACAAGAGGACCTTGCATCCTGTGCAATGACACGTGCTGCAACGTGGACAGTACATAGAACAACCCGTCCCAGACAAACAAGTTAAAGAGTTTCATTTTACCTCCAAGTTTTAGTGTTGACTGATTTTCTCCTGTACCAGTAAACCAGCAGCATAAGAGCTGCAAGATGCATTGTCTAAACAATCCCCCACTCGTTAGCTGAAACACAGTGGCAAGATGGGGAAAAATGTTGTGCAGTGGATCTGCAAAACGGGACTGAGCACATAGCCTGTGGGGAGAGTTTTACCTGAATCTCTGGCGTAGTCACTAGAAACCCAGGTCAAGAGTTTTTGTTTTGTGCAACGGTTTTTAAAAAGCTCAAAAAATATTATTATTCATCTTCATATAATATCCAGTACCTTTGAGATTTTCTACAAATGTGACCTTTTCAGAGGGTTTTAGAAAAAAAAACAAATCTGTTCAAACATCACTCATCTTTAGAAGTTTAAAGGGATGCAACAGGGGACTGAATGTGAAATATCACATAGCTTGTTCTCTGTTCACAAGTTCTTCAAATTTAATGCAGAAAACTGTTAATGATTTGTGGGCATGTGGTGAGATCTGATTTTCCAACAGCTGTTCAGTTACATATTGGATAAAGGTGGGCAGCAACACATTTCAGAGAGGATAAAAAACATCACCTTTTGACCTCCAGCCTTCATCTGAGTTTAAAAATATATAGCTATCAAACACCAGATTTTCCCATTAACAGCACCATCAGGGGTACCCCAGAAGCACCATGAACTGCAGTGCCTCTGTTTTTTTCATTGACTAAATATTATGTGCATTACGGTTATTCTACGACAAGACCTAGGGACCTTAAATGAGGATATAATTTACTATGATGTAAGGAATGACGTAACTTCTTTAAACTATAATGTAAAGTTGAAATTAAGAAAACAGCTGAAGATGGCATTAACTTAAAATTGAGTCAGATATTACAGAATCACATGTTTTCTGATTTTATGCTGCAATTGGATGAATATAACCAATAAAATGAAAAAGAAGTTCTAATTATTTCAGTGGTAGAATCAACACTCAACAGAGATTATATATAAATCTTTATAATCCTGTCATCTTAAGACTTTGCCATTTTAAGCTGCCATTTTATTAGGATCACAGTCTTAAGTGCAACATAATGACATCCCTCCCACCCCTCCAACAACCAAATCAGGCAGTAACTTACACTGTTTCCTGAAAACTGTACGAGCAAGTAAATGCATCAGTAGGAATGACAACAGTGAGGATTACAGAGACTTGAATGGACAGGACATCCTCTGGACTGGGTGAAGTTGAGGGAGGCTGATTAAGTGCTCGTAGCTCTTAATGGATATGCAGATCCCAGGGAATGTTTTTCAAACAGATGGTTGCCGAGGTGGGCAGAGCCGACAGCAAGGCTTCCTATCCTTTTCTCTGCCCTTGTGTCACGCACTTGTCATAAAGCCTGATATGAAGCCACACTATTGTAAAAGCAGCCGTTCTCCCGCCTCTTAGAAATCAGTGCGCATTTGTATATCTGAGATCTGTAGATCCCTCATGTAAAACTGGATCGGTTTAACTCATGATTAAATCATCTTTTAAAAATCCTAATCTGGGCAATGTGGCGTTGGGCACTCTCTCTGTAACCGTGGAACAAAAAGCTGCCTAATTCATCACAAATTATACGTGATAATTAAGCCATTATGTTAATGACATAACAGCAATCACTATATTTAATCATGTCCCTGAAGTAACCCATGAAACATTTATGTGTGCATTTATCCTGTAAACACTGTTAGGTGAATGTCTATGTGGACATTATGCAGTGCCAAGTTTCTCTCTATTTAATAAGCACTATATTAAATCCCAGGTCCAGAGCCATTATACATGACCGACTGGATAACCTCTAATGCCCATATTGGAATTGATCCAATTCATAATTACACAAATAAATAAAACACTCAAAAATGTATATTGTATAATACAGGAGACTCGTACAATACAAATTTATTAGACCACCTGTCAAAAGAATAAGTAAAGAACATGTTTTTAAAAAAACGCATTTATAAATAAATATTATATTATTATTATTATTTTTTAGGCAAATAGCAAAATGAATTCATGTTTGAGAAGTCAGAATTACTCAAGAATAAATTCAAGTGCTAAAACTAATTTTTCTGTTCAGGAATGCACGTACGTAAGTGCCTGTAATTTGGCATCTTAATTGAAAATGATTTTTCTGCTTTTTTGTATAATGGTAAATTTAAAAATTCATGGAAAACAACAAGAATTGTGTTTTAGCATTAAGGAGCTTGCACACACAGGTGGATTAACTATTATAGCAACATAAAATATTATTGTATTAATTATCAATTCTGTTAATTTATGGCAGCTGTGGTGCGAGCCTTACATTGAGTGGTGCTCTAATTAATTTGTTAAGCACTGTACATGAGGTAACAGACACAGTCTGTGGGTCTTTATTGATGTTTTAGAGCTTACTAGAACGAAAAAAATCAGCATTTGTTGATTACCGGAATGATATATACAACATTTTCTGATAATTGTGCAAATTATCATTTTATTAAGACATGATCTTGCAGTGTCAGTATTAAAATGTCTAAAACACACCCCATAACCCAGAGTAAATTGGTGCTTTAACTACACATGTGCTGGCACAGATAAGACACTCTTTTTATGGCTGACAACAGCTGTGACTTCCTGCCAGTTAAACTCTTGGAGGTCTCTGCGAGCTTGTATCGTTCCTCGGTGCATCACCGACAGAGAATGTGAACAATATTTATAGATCACAACCAGCAGGAGAATCCCCCAGACATCAA